TTAGTTAATACTTATCAGTTATTATTAGGGATCTGATTTATATGTAAATACTATTGTATGTTGGACTATTGTCTCGATTTGTTCAAATTGTTCACCTTGTGTAATAATCTACAATATTAATAATACTATTATTAATTAGTATCACTGATCGCTGTTAACATAATCACTTTATACAAAGTTTTGGATGGTAAACAGTTTTTATTAATTTGTTTTCAGCTAGCTATAGGTTGGTCATAGAATAATTAAGTCATATACTATATAATTAAACAAAAATTAAATAAAAATTAATCACCAATATAATGATTGTGTAGTATAGGTACAACAATAAAATTGTGTAATAGTTGTAATGTATCACTATCATCTGTTAATTTCAAATAATATGACTATATATCTAAAGGCTATAGTTAATAATGTGGCAATAAAATTATTACAATTTAAAAATTAACATAGAGAGTTTAAAACAAAATTATATAGTTATTATTCCTGTAGTATATTGTTATAAATTATAATAGATTATTTCATAAAAATAAAAATATACTTTTATAATGACTATTAATTTTAATAGGTGTATTGTGTATATTTATAATATTATTTACTAATGGAAAATTAAATTTCCTCTGGAATATTTTTCAGTTTCATACGTTATATAGTAGTGGCAAAGACATCGTTTTGAGTGGGGGACGGTCATTTTAAGCTCTAATTTATAGTAAATTACAATACATTTTTTTTACAAGCATTATGCTTGAATAATATTTTTCTGATTGCATTCTATGTAATTATACTAGTTAGTAATTAAAGTATTGATCAAGTGTTGAAAGTCTTAGCTACGGTTATATAGATTTATATACATAAACAATTATTACTAAACTTATTATTTTTTAAATTAAGGCTGTTGAAAGCAGCGTATTTATTTCATGATTTATACTTAAAAGCCTGACAAAATTACGCCTACTTAGAATTATCAGATTTCAATTCTGTAAAAAGATTCGAGTTCATCGACAATTTTCCTAGGTTATTGTGGGAATCAATTTTCGATATTTTTTTTAGAATTCATGTTAAATCATATTTTGATTTCTCAATTTTTTTTAAATTGTTTGTGTCTTTTTTTAAAAAGTTAAACAGTTATTCAAAAATCGACTTGCACAATAATCTATAAAAAAGAGCGATGAGTTCAAATATGTTTACAGAACTAAAATCCGATCATTCAAGTTATCGTATTTTTGTCAGGCTTTTAGGTATCAATTGATTGAAATTAGTTTCTCATTGAAACAAAATATTTTATTATGTGACATGTGCATGCGCGTGCGAACCACTGATTCCGAACGTATCTACGGACACTAATGACTTAGCACACAAACACACTGCGAAACGACTATAAGACATCGAATTGCCTAGACACGACCCCTTATTAAATCACCGCTTCGAATAACCTTAACTGAAAAAATCTTAATAATAACAATGTAAATAAATCTAGTTAAGTTATTTAGATAATTCACTAATCAGTAAAGCTCAAAATCTTGATAAAATTAACTTTTTAACAAGCTAATTCTCTACTTTGAGAAATGAGTATGGAATATGGATACACTAAAAGTTATACACGTTATAACTTATAAGTTATACAAATAGTACCAGCTTGATACATTTTCACTAATTTTATAATTTTTATTTCTTCAAAACTTCATGGACCACTATTTATGGTGTTGACATAATGACATGTAAATATTTTTTGCTAGTAAATTATTTGACTGGTTGAAATAAATTAAAGGGATTTCACATCCTTTTACACTATACTTTTAGATATACAATAGTTTAATTATTTCCTCCTCCATAATAAATAATAACCTCCCTGGTTACGCGTCTACTCTTAAATACTGTAAGCTTCCATAAAAATACCTTAATTTATCACAAAGTCATTCGTCTTTAGTACTCTTTACCCAATTTCATTACCAGCAATTTCGTTATGAGGATGTCAGTTTGTACACAATTTGTTTTCTCTATCCGACCCACACATGTTTAGCAGAACCCACGCATGTTACTATTAATATTAGAGTGAATTCATCTATTATAAAATTTTAAGTCGGTATTACGTTGGTTTACTACGTTGGTTTACTACGTTGGTTTTCATATGATATTTAAGATTTAATGCTATTTATAAGAATTTTTAAATTGTAATAATTTACACTCTTATAATAACTTACATACAAATTAAAATACAAAAATAGCTTTTGTAGCGACACAGGTAATGTTCTTACTTAAAGTTTGATAATATGTGAATTCACTGTAATATTAAAAGCAACAACACAGAGTTGGTTCTGCTAAACATAAATTTACTCTGTTGATTGTGGGTTTTAGAGAGAGAACACAAATGGTGCGCTGATATACTCTTAAACTTAAAATGTATAGCATACACTAATGTAGTAATGTAATACAGATATAATGTATAAATAGTAGAGACTATGTATTTCACACTACTGGTGAACTACAACAGACGTGGAAAACAGAGCTCATGAGGGACATCTCACGATAAAAGTCGTATATGCATTAGGTACATAATACCTAAACAACGTCGATATCAATAATATTAATTGAATTGAATTTGTTTGGTCACAAAATGTCAATGGTGGGCAAGTTAATGAAAATAATTAACTGTGGAAAGTTAAGTTAATTCAATTAAATTGCCTTCAGTTAAGTTAAAAGTTAACAAAAAAATAAAATTTAACTAGTTAAGTTAAAAGTTAAGATGGAAAATAAAATTAACTTAACTCAGTTAAAAAAAAGTTAATTTTTTTTTTAAGTCATAATATTAATAGGTATAGGCTGTTTTTAAATATTTGTCATTTAGTACCATTATAATAGTCTATTATTAAAATAAAATCAATGAATAATGATAATAGTATAATACCTACCAAAAATTGTTTCCATATTTATTTCGATAATGTTATTTTCTAATCGCATACGTTTATTTGTATTTATAACGAATACGGCAATATAAATTATAATTTATAAATATCTCGGACGACTTTTTGTTTTGTCTATTGGAATTGTCGTATTTACCAGTAACCAGTATATATTATTGATATAATGATATCCATTTAAAGACTATGATATTTAGTTTTAAACCTGTTTTTAGGAATTGGAGAGTTAGATAAAACAAAAATCGGATTATTCAATACCATTAAATAATATTAAATCATTAAATAATAGAATTCGTGAAAATAGCCAGTCGATACAAGGATAGTATACTAATTATTACTCTTTAGTCTTTACTAAGTACCTATAGATTATAATATAATTTGGTTATTATGAATTTATGATATTATATTATTAGAAAAATAAATTACCAAAATGGCAAAATAGAAAGAATAAGTTTTGTCTCTTGGTTCCACATGATAAAAATTTAATTTAATTAACTTAACTGTACAATAATGATAATTAACTTTAAAAAGTTAAGTTTAAACAATACAAAATTTAACTGAATAAGTTAATAAGTTAAAAACAAAAAAAACTAACTAGTTAAGTTAAAAAGTTAAAAAAAAATTAACTTTTTAACTTAACTTTAACTTTTTAACAAGTTAATGCCCACCATTGCAAAATGTATTATGTATTCATGTAGATAGGTACTAGCCACTAGGTAGTGTTTTATGTTGCTACTTTTAAATTTAGGTAAGAACATTTGTAAAGAAATACAGAGTATAAGAAGTATAAGGTAGATCGAATAGTATTGAATTTTAGGTTTAAATTAAATAATCTTAAAAATAAAAATAATTGCTAATTGGTAAGGTGGCTCTAGTTACCTAAGTTTAATCATTCAAACCAATACGACCAAGTAAAAAGAAAAGTTGACGAACTAGCATACTGCCCAGCCTTGAATCAAAAACTAATTGTTTTTTTTTTTGCACTTAAATTGACCGAGTATATGTACCTATCTAATGACTAATATCTGCTGCATAAGCCATTGGTCAAGCCGTCAAGGTGACTGGACAATGTCATGTCATAGGCACATCATATGGGTAATATTATGCTTAAAACTGTTATTTGTTTCTCATTGTAGTATAATATAATTTGTATGTTTAAAAACCGTAATGTTATCAATTAAAAAATGTCTGTAAATTTAATTTCTTCGAAACAATTAGTCAACAAAAAAATTATGATCTGATTATTGAATATTATTATAACAGTAGGCACTGTCTACAATAATTGTAATTGCATTAGTGCATTACACTCGTTTAATTTTAAACTGTAGATAAATAGATATAGAGCGCGCGTCATTTAATTTAGATCCCTATAGTATTTCCCCCGCCACACATAAAAATATGATATAGGTACCAATTATTTTATAATTATTAATTATTTCGATTACTTGTCCGAATGTTGTCCTGCGGTTATCTGAATATTAAATATTTTTAAGGCCACATATTTTGTTCATACATATTATTATAAGTAATGATTAAACGATTTTTTATAGTAATACCATACACGCTCGAGTTTCACAAACAGTTCAGTAAATAATTTAGAAACGTTGATTATTTATGTTTTTAAACTTTTATCCTTTACAACACTTTTGTTGAAAATTATAAAAAACCATTTCAACCGTAAGTTGTCACCTTACAAGTGCGTTTTATACTTTAATCGTCCCGAGAATACTTTATAATAAATTAAAATACTGTTTATTAATATTTAAGTACATTATATTATAAATTATAATACGTTAATACCTAGGTATATTATATCAGTATTATTATTATATTGTAATGTGACTATGGGAGTATGGGACCATCATAGGTTTTCTGCGTAGTATATTATCAAAAACAAATGGTCGCAATCTTCTCCTGCCGTTATCATTTCTTATTATTAGTTATCAACAATAACAAGTTCTTAAAATGTTAATATTTCAGAGTTTCAGACGTTTCAGGCGTTTCAGCTTCAAACTTTCAAAAATTCCTGTCCAAAGCTCGTCTCTTGTAAACCGATCGGCTGGATTTTCATAGCGTCGGTCATTGATGCAATTGGTGCTGCCCAAGTCAATAATATTTACTGTCGTCGATAAGTTGAGATTGTCGTCCGGAAAATATTTCAAAATGAGTGCTGTGAGTTTTACCGTGGGACGCAAAAATTGTTCCACGGCGGGCGTGGACGTATCTAAAATGTGTGCCGCACACCAAGCCATCGATAAGCATGTTAAAGTAATATCATGTCATTTAGATCACCTGACATGTGGTCAATTCTCATTACTATTTTTTTACTGTTGTTTGTGATTTATCATCAGGACGGCATGATACTGGGCATTGGTAGCGGCTCGACGATTGTATACAGTGTTCAACGATTGGGTAACCTTTATATTATTTGAGAAATATATATTCTTGCAGTGTAACTAAATATATTTTCATCTTTAGCAAAAAGAATGAAAGACGAGAATTTATCTGTCGTTTGTGTGCCAACGTCTTATCAGGCACGTCAGCTGATTATCGATTACAAACTAACATTGGGAAACTTAGACACACATCCTAAAGTAAGTAAAAAACAAGTACTAAGTTATTAAGTACTAATACAATCAAAATGTTGAAATTTGTATGATCAATCAGATAGATTGTACAATTGATGGAGCAGATGAGATTGAAAAGGGCACTTTGACATGCATAAAAGGAGGAGGAGGATGTTTGACACAAGAAAAAATTGTGGCATCGTGTTCTGAAAAATTAATAATTGTTGCCGATGGAGCGTAAGCATGTTTATTTTAATAAAAATGTTGTTTTATTTTTATTTATTATATATGTTTACAATTGATGTTAAGTAAAGAGGTGAACCATTTGGGTCAAAAATGGAAGAAAGGTATACCTATTGAGGTAATACCTATGTCATGTAAACCGATTCAGCAAAAAATAGAAGGAAAATATGGAGGTGAAGCCATTTTGAGGATGTCTGCTGATAAAGCAGTAAGTTAAAAATAATAAATACAGTCAATTTTATAATACAGCGATTCCCAAATTTTTATCCGGCAGTGCTCTTTAGTTGGTCCAAATTTATTGTTGGTGCCCTCATGTGAATACCACAAAGAACATGATAATAATGAACACTATTTCTTATTTATAACCGATTTAAATAATTGTATTGAACATATTATAAACAAATTACAAAATTATAGTTGAAAATAAAGAGAATAAATATTACAAAATTGAAAAACTGCTTTAAAAGTTAAAAATGAATGTTAAAAACTAACGAGATTTTTTAAAAGTTTGGCAATATCTGGTTCAATTTTTGACAACTGGATATGGAGGTCAGGTTCTACATTAAGATGGTTTCGGTATTTGGTTTTAGTAGCCGTATAGCCCAAAAATCCTGTCTCACATAGATTAGTGTAATAGCTAAGGGTAGGAGTATTGTTATTGCTTTTTGACTCAAATCTTCAAAACTTGTATTTTTTAAATTTAGCTTAAATTCAACGTAAGAATTGCTGCTGAAGGTGAATTTCAAGAAAGTCGTGTGTATAATGTTATCTGAATTTATGCGGCCTGTATCATTTATCTATTAATTGATACAGATTAGAAATAGTGTATTAGATAAACAGAGTGTGCTAAATAATTGTGTACTTATGTAAAACAGTTATTTGTCTTTTTAACTACAATAAATTGGAAATAATTTTTTTCATTCTCGGATGAACCGTGGTGCTCGTGAAATGAGCTCACGGGGCACAGGTTGGGAATCGCTGTTATAATATATTCATTAGGTTTTAATTTTCTTTTTATCTTCAGGGACCATTGGTTACAGACAACGGTAACTTCTTATTGGATTGGGTTTTTCCTGAAACAAAATATTGTTGGTCATCCGTCCACAATTATTTAAAACTAATCCCAGGTATATTGTATTAATTGTATACATGGACCATTACATGATTATATATATATATATATATATATATTTATGTATTTTAAGGAGTGGTTGAGACTGGATTATTCATTGATATGACAGATGAATGCTTGGTCGGCGACTCACAAGGAAATGTACGACTACTGAAGAAGACTGAACAGACGTTGGAGTTGTAGGTTAAATCTAATATCTGTATTACATGTCATTATATTATTTGAATTGGATAACATTCTCTTTAAAATTTAAGTATTATGACTTTTTATCAACTTTTAATTTTGTGTTGCTTAAATCAAATAGCGTTTTAGATTTTTTTGATCTTCAAATACTGTTTTTATAAAATATTTTATGTTAATTTATTAAATTAGTAATACCCAAATTTAAAAATATATTTATAAAAGTATATTTTATCAATTTATTGATAAGTACGATAAGCAGCTGCTCTATTACCCACAATTAAAAATTATAGAGTTTCTATAGGTAGTTAAAACAATTGAGTAAATTATAGCCATAATAATAATTACCCAATTAGTCATTTGTTTTAAACGGCAATATGATATAAAGTAAATAGTTTTTTTTAATTTATAAAAATGTAGAGTTTAAGTAGCCAGGTTGGTGTTAATATAATAATTATAATATACTATTAAATTATTATAAAGTATATTATTAATAATATAGTGTGGCTTTGCACAACACGTTGGCTGCAATTTATCACGCGATGTGACTGAAAGTATGAAACGGCTGCTGCCACTAGTTCCTGAATGGGTGACCAAACCACATTTTTTTAACTTAACTTAATTATAATATTTAGATTCTGAGCTGAGCGATGAATCCATTAGTTTTACAATTATGTGTTTTTTTTTTGTGTTTCATTACCACTTGGGGCCTTAAAACTACTTTGATTGTTTTCAACGGTATCTTGTTTGATGGGAAACTGAATCTAGTTGGTGAATTTAGGTGGTCAAAATTTGTAATTCTCTATAGTTTTCAAAAGCTCAGTTAAAAACAAAACAAAAATAGGGAAAAACGGTAATTTTTTACCCAAAAACGGTTTTTGACAAGGTCGATTTTGGTTTTTGGTGTAACTCTAAAACAAATAACCGTATATACATGAACATTTTCCTGAATGTTTATATTTTCGTTTTCTATACACCATAAAATTTTGAAAATATTTTGATTCTTTTTGAGCTGTTTACGGAAATTGTCAGTTTTCAATTTGCTTAGTTATTTTTTCTATAAATATCAATAAAATATTTATTTTTTTGGGTATAAAAGTGTGAACATTTAATGCAAGGCTCCTGGTAAGACAGTTGAAAAGTATATGGACACAATTTTTTTTATAAACATTTATAGTTCGAATTCCGACAAAATTTAATAACTTTTTTTTGTAGTTAAAAATGTATAAAATATTCAATTTTTATAGCTAAGGATTGAAAATTTAAAACAACATTCCTCTTAAATAGGTTATATATAAATTTACAATAATATCATCAAATGTACTCAGTAATATCAGGCTGACTGGCCGTTTTTGCTTGGAATCATTTTTCTTATACAATGTTATTATATCATTGAAAACAAGTGTAACACCATCCATTACAGTGACCCACTTGTAACCTACTGTACAGCAGAGCAACAACTTGCCCACCTTTTTTTTTTTCATTAAAATTGAAACAATTATATTAGTTGAATTATATGTGAATGAAGGATGATATATGCATGTTCACCATGTATTTATCTCTAAATAGTCAGACATGTTATAGTAATTGTTAAAATCTATGGTAAGTAGTAACGTAATAGGTACCTATACTGATGTACATTATACATAATATATATATTATAGCATAACATTAAAAAAAAATACTTGTGTTTGTATTCAAATACCTTGTATTTGTAAAATACATTTTTATAATAGTATTTTAAAAGTATAAAAAATTATACAATAGGAATTAGGAACACATATCAATGATATATCATCATATTCAAACACTAAACGTCCAGAATCTTAAACAGAAAACAACTGACGTTGATAAGCTCATTAAAGAATGATACTACAAAGGGCACCTGAAGGTAATCAATAAACATGTCTGTGCAAAAAATTCAACTAGTCAAATTCTTAAAAAAAAAATTGAAGGGGAGTGTTGGCACCCGCAGGCAAATGCATTTTAGAAAACCAAAAAAAATTTAGAAAAAATTATACAGTAGGAAACACATTAAAGAGTTCAAACTAAAATGTCCACAATCCAAAACTGAAAAAACAATATTGCCAATGATTAGCTCATTAAAGAATGATGATACAGAGGGCACCTTCTTGTTAACAATATTCAAGTCTACACAAAAAATTCAACTAGAGTCAAATTCCTAAGAAAAAAAATTGAAGGGGAGTGTTGGCTCCCGCAGGCAATTGCATTTTAGAAAACCAAAAAAAAATTTAGAAAAAATTATACAATCAGAACACATATCAATGAGCTCAAACTAAAATCTTCCGATTCATAAACAGAAAAAACAATCCACAATGATTAAAATATTAAATATAGCTCGTTTAAGAATTTAAATACAGAGGGCACCTGCAGGTTATCAAAATTCAACTAGAGCCAAATTTCTAAAAAAAAAATTGAAGGGGAGTGTTGGCGCCCGCAGGCAATTGCATTTTAGAAAACCAAAAAAAATTTAGAAAAAATTATACAGTAGAAAAACACATTAAAGAGTTCAAAATAAAATGTCCAGACTCTTAACAGAAAAAAATATTGCCAAATGCCAATGATTAGCTCATTAAAGAATGATAATTCAGAGGGAACCTGAAGGTAATCAATAAACTTGTCTGTGCAAAAAATTCAACTAGAATCAAATTCACAAAAAAAAATTGAAAGGGGAGGGTTGGCGCCCGTAGGCAAATGCATTTTAGAAAAACAAAAAAAAAAATTAGAAAAAATCATACAATAGGAACACATATTGAAGGGTTCAAACTAAAATGGCCAGAAACTTAGGGCCGCTTTCACCACTACTTTAAACTTCAATTAAAGTTAAACCGGTGTTTAATCGGCCGAATTTGCCCGGTAAATATCTGTTATCAGTCGATTAAGAGTAATCGAAGTTTTAAGTATTTGGTGAAATCGGCCCTTAACAGAAAAAACTATTCAAAATGATAAGTTCATTAAAGAAAGATGATTATAGGACCATCAATAGAGGGGGGGGACAAAAGGAGCAGTTTCTCCAGGTGGCAGGGGTGGCCAAATATTTAGGGGTGGAAAAAAAGTCGATAAGGTCGTTTGTAATACAAGAAATGTAAATTATATAGTAGGATAAATATTAATTATTATTTTACGAATTTACGATGTCAATTTTATTGTCGGAATATCGAAAATCGTAGAGAGAACGCTGTTTATGGACCTTGTTTTCGTAATACCTAGTACCTACGTACTAATCACGATCAAAGATATCTAATCGAACTTTTTTTAATATTATCACTATTCACTAAATATATTGACATGTAATAGCCGCCGGGCACCGAACTGCCAGAATTTTACGATATTGCCACCTACCATTAGATTGCAGTACTGACTACTGAGACTATGTAGCTTGTTATTCGATTATAATATCTATTATATTCCTATCTATTTGTTCTTTACTATTTATTTATACAAGAAATAACGAAAGTTTTGAACTTGGTCAATTTTTAGGATAATGTTAGTGTTATATAATATTTAAAATTTTAGACATAGTACCTATACCTATTTCCTTAGTCGGTTATCATTAGAATAATTCATAGGTATAGGTATATACCATATAAGAGACATGAGTTTGAAATTAATAATGAAACGTAGACATATTGTGTATGTAATAATTTATTAATTTGTATAAATTGTATCTGGTTCATGTGTTTAAATATATTGTAAAATACGATACCTGCCTATGTGTAGCATGAGTAGATAAGCATATAGTTTTTTTTGTAAGTATATTGTATAATGTTTGTTAGAGAGTAGCGATAAATTTTTTTTTTGGCTATTTAGTTGTAAAAAAAAGGCGTATACTGAATTAGGGGCGTCATATTTATGATTGCTTCCCCATAAATTGTCCCTTGATACAGCCCTGTGACACTAACTCGTGTAAACAATTTGAAGCACATATAGGTAAGCGATCAACGAGTCTCTGACGTTTTTATTGATAGGTATATACCAATTCGCATAGATAAATATGAGACATTTCTCTTCTCACATCTATCAGAGTCAGAGACTTGTCATCAATATGTGCTCAAAATTATCGGGATGTGGACCCATTCATAGTATATGATTCAAAATTGACACAACAAGACTGTGATCACACCACTTGGGAGTATGATTGGATGTAGATTGTAAAAGTAATAAGTAGCTATTAATGATTTAATACATATTTAATTAATGATTTATCAGCATGTATTGCTGGTCTTGCAAGTAGGTATCAATTTCAGCGGATCTTAATTAAATTTTTAAATGTAATCTTTAATCTTTGTTAGTTTTAATATTAGAGTGATTAATATTTTTTAAAACTATTGAAGCCTATAATTATAACTACTGAACGGGCTACTGAATGAAAAAGTGATATCTTTCACACTTGTAAGACACACTTGTAGGCAACACATGCAGATGAAAGGTTTTTTTTTTAAAAAACAATTTTAATGATTTTTTTTAGCTTCATGTTTTTTAAAAATACTCGGATAATGTCGAGCTTTGGAGCAACTTTAGAACGTATTCAATTAATTTTATTTTGTACTTATTAGTTATTGAAACATGATATGGAGGGTAGTCCTTTTGGTCATCCAGTGTCCACAAATATTTCAATTCATAATATGAAATCCCAGCCCTGTCCCCTATACTCTGATTTTAAAAGCCCATTCCACCTTCATATTCTCTATGCAAAAAGTAAATTTAAGAAATATTTGTAAATCAAGGCACAGTCTCTCTTTTGTATAAATATTAGTGATTTCATTAATGTTCAGTATTGTGTATAGTTAGATTGGGAAAACATAAGACAATACCATTTAGACAAGACTGTGACTAACACAATCATGCTTTTACAAAAGATGATGTAGGTACCTTCTATTTTTTGAATTAATCTTCTTTTTTTCTGGTACTTTATTGGTGGACGGCACTTTAACTACGGTTCCTCGACCTACAGAGGCAACCTTGAGGCATTTTCTTTTAGAAAATTAATTAAATCCTCAATCATAACTCTTAATTTAAGAGTTTGTAAATTGTAACTAATACAATCATAATATAATATGAGTATAGTACATTTCGTAATTTCGTAATTTTTTTTTATAATTTACTGTTTTATTAATTTTGTATTTCTAATGTAATATGTGTTGATATTTATGGACAGCGCTTGCACCATGGCCCTTCGATATAGTAATGAGGCGACCAGGCCCATCTCTTTTTGATAAATATTATTAAATACCAACTCAATCAAGTCTTCCAATTTATACAATCATAATATAATATGAGTACCTATAGTACATTTCGTAATATTTTTTTATAATTTACTGTTTTATTAATTTTTTATTTCTAATGTAATATGTGCTGATATATTTTATGGACAGCGCTTGCACCACGGCCCCTCGATATAGTAATGAGGCGACCAGGCCCATCTCTTTTAGATAAATTATTAAATACCAACTCAATTAAGTCTTCCAATTTACATTTTACATTTATATTATGTAGATAATTTGGGATAATTTGAAGAAAAATTTGAAATTAAAGAGAGACTGTGTGAAGTAACAAAATATGTGGTGTGACTTGCACATTTGAACACTTGTTAATTGTTATATTTATTAATGTATTATATTAAACTTTAGTTAATTTTTAATAATGTACAATAATAAACATTTGAACAATTATTACAATAAAAGTAGTTTTTTTTACAAAAAATGTGCTATGTTGGTCACACTTTAATAATATTATTTGATATCAACAAATAATTAAAGTGATACGGTGCAAATGCGTATTCAATATAACGGCCATACGCGATGTAAAATTTTGCAGACATCATGACAAAATATTTTGTCATGGCAGACATCAAATAGTGAATAAGTAAGTAAATAATTGTCTATTCTTAATATTACTCCTATATAATTTTTAAAAAATATTATTAGTTTTCGATTAATGCAAATTTGGTAGAGTTCATTCTGATTGTAAGTTTAATAGAAACGTTAAGTTAAATTATTACTGTTTGAGGTAAGACGGGAAAAATGCAATGGGCCAAGATGAAGACATGTCCCATCTTATCTCAATTAATTTTTTCAAATATAATAATTTAATACATTTAGTTTAATTATTCTATTCTATTTAATAATCATGCTCTTGAACAAATATAAGCCATTTGAATTATATAGCTAACTACATTTATGATATTATATTATATTAACATAAGTAATATCTATAATATTTAAATTTATTATTATTTTAAAGCAAGTTTTACAATTTATTATTTGTGTTTTAATGAATTTTCAAATAATTTAATTTTTAGAAATGCCTCGTTCAAGAGTCAGAGTTTCTAAACGCCAAAATTGGGATTCAGAAAATATGAGGAAGGCTGTGAAAGAAGTAATTGAAAAACGCATGACATTTCGTAATGCCTGTATTGAATTTTATGTACCTAAAAGCACTCTAGAAAGAAAGGTTAGATACAATCTACTATATTATTTACTTATCTATATTTTATTTAGTATACCTACTTACCTATATGTAAATTAAATGTTATTTAGATTAAACAAAAGAACTTAGATCCTAGTTATGACACTGGGAACAAAGTGGCACTAGGACCAATATCTAAAGTGTTTTCAACTGCTGAAGAAACAGCTGGTATCCTATCTTCAACTTATGGAAGGACGTTTATTTGGACTAACGTCAATAGATTTACGAAAGATTGCATATCAGCTTGCTGTCAAAAACAATAAGAAAAACAATTTTTCACAAAAAAAATAAATTGCTTGGTATGATTGGTACAGATGCTTCATGGCAAGACATCCTGAACTATCACTTAGGAAACCAGAAGCCACTTCAATCGCACGAGCTATGGGTTTTAATAAAGTTGTTGTAAGTCAGTTTATGAGCTTCTTGGAGGGTTATTAGGTACATATAAGTTTAGTGCTGATCGTATTTTTAATTGTGATGAAACCGGTATCTCTTCTGTGCCTAAATGCAAATCAAAAATTATTGCTTCTAAAGGAAGGGAACAAGTAGGCACTGTGACTTCAGCAGAGCGTGGTGAAACTAATACGGTTGAGATATGTATGAGTGCAGCCGGTTCTTTTATGCCACCACTTTTTGTTTTCCCTAGACCACGTCACAACTTGGAATTTATACAAAATGCTCCACCTGGATCATTTGCTGAGTTTCATAAATCTGGATGGATGCAGAAAGAATTTTTGAACGCTGGTTAGAAAAGTTTATAATTTTTACTAATTCTTCTAAAGATAGACCAGTTTTACTTATACTAGATGGACATTCCACTCATACCAAGAGTATTGAATTGATTACAATGGCTCGTGACAATGGAGTTATACTTTTATGTTTCCCACCTCGTTGTACTCATAAACTAAAACCACTAAATGTAGGCTTTATGAAACCTTTAAGTACATATTATGACAAAGAAAATACTAATTGGCTTTGCACAAATGGAGGTAATTTTATAACAGTTAAACAAGTTGCAGACATTTTTGGATTAGCCTATATTGATAACTTACAACTTCTTGAAGGCACTTCCAATGAAATATCATGTTTATCTGCAAATCCTTTTATATTAGTCCATAAAACAGAAAATTCACTATCACATCGTTTTTTTTCAAAAGTATCTATAACGGCTCTAATAATACCAACAGCTTTCCCCAATGTTGCAGTCTTTTGTTGTAACTTATTACTGAGTATATTAACATTGCACAATACTTCATGAAAAATAAATAAATTTACTACAAAAGACCCTTTGGTTATAGAAGAATAAATACCTGAAATTTAAAAATAGGTAAATTAGAATTTGATGATCAGAATAAATATTTAATATCATACAATTGTTTGGTTATTACAATATTAGGTTAATACTAATTAAATTAATGAGATAGAGCCACTTATATTATTAATTACCAATAGCTTGGCTAACATTTCTATCCGAGTTTTCTTCAATCTCTCCATGTAATATTTGTAAAATAGCAGCAAAATTTGTAATGACTGCATCACAGTTTTTATATCTACATACCCAACGTGTATCTGACATATGGATCATAGTTTTATTTTTCATGCCTAACTCCTTTTGAACTTCTTGCAACTTCTGATTCTTTGAAGGAAATGAAAAATGAACGTATATAGATTATAATACCTTAAATAAATTTCTTGCGTCCTAATTAAATTTATAAAATAATAATTGTTAATTTTAAAAATCATAGCTTTTTAATGACACGATAAAATTAAATAGGTACCTACTTTGATATTTTTACACATGTCTACAACAACTTCTACAAATTGCTGTAGGAAATTTATTTTTAATTTTTGCTTATTTTAACTAATTATCTAGCTTCATCACACATTAAAGCGAAAAATCCATTTGTCTGTACTTCTAAAATTATTTTGTCTCTAACCATTTGAGCACAAATACTTAAAATTTGGTTTTGAATTGACCAACAGGAATAATTAGTTGTACAATTAAATTTTTTTTTCAAATTGTTAATCAAATTTTTTTTAGCAAATGACAAGCCTCTTTGAAATTTCCTGTAAAAATGTCATATTTGTTATGAATTTTTCAAAAAAATATTTGTTTATTTTAAGCACTTAGTAGGTACCTTGGTTCAGAGAGTTTTTATCTTCAAAGTGGCCCCGAAGTGGGATTCCTTGGCGGCTCAAATATAACAAAATTTCAATTAGTATTGTTAAGTATTCTCGATTTTCATTTACTTCTTTTTGATGTCCTTCTGATAGCTTAGAGACTACACTACCATTTGATTTACTTGACAAATAAGCAGTATAATTTGTCTTGTTAATTAAGTGTTGTTTTGAAGAAGAATGTGAGTTACACTTCTCTCTAATCTAATTGTCCATAAAAAGCAATGTAAAGTTATTATTTACACAATAATATAGTATTGATTAGAATGCCGAATTGCATATATAAATATTATTAAAATAGAATACAAGTAATGATAACTACTAGGCATTTTTTAACTATGAATGTATCTATATTGTAGTTAACTGGTTAAAATAGTAGGTAACTTACTTTTCTCCAATTTTGAAACCCCTTAGTAGTGAAAGTGTCGGTGTCTTCATTATAATTTCCTAAGCCACATATTCGACAAAAATAACAAAATACCAAATCTTTCCTCACACTATATTCAAGCCAATCATAATTAGAATACAGTTTGCTTGAAAATGGCCTGTTTTGAATACCAAATTTGGTTTTGGGATATACCTAAAAAAACATTTTGTTAAACCTTGTTAAACATTTTGAATTTGTTTAGTAATAATTTGAAAATTTTTTTAGTAGGAATTGAAAACTGACTTGTAATATAGGGCGGGCATGTCCCATATCTCCTAAATCGGATAAATTACTTGTAACTGATACATTTGGATCCACACTAATAGGTTCGATAAATGTACTGTCATCTTTATTCATTACTTCTTGCATATCGGCCATAATACCGATATCTTCAGATTCAGAAGTAATACTGCCAATACTGGAAGTACCTATATTATAATATAACATTGATCATTGAATATAAACATGAAAATAATGTTAAAAGATTAAAACAATTTTTCAATATGATTGCAACAGAGGAACTTTAATTTTAGTTTAAAGACTAGATTTTTACTTACTGGCAGTGGCAAATATTTCTGTATTAGCTTCACAATTGGTTTTTTGTTTGTTGCATTTATACTTTTCAAATATTGAAAACATTTTTTTTTACGATTTTACGTGATTTTATGACTTATTAAATAAAGTAACTTAAATAGTTATTTCAAATAAACATAAAAAAACTTAACGGAACACCACAAACAAATTTACGAATCAAACTTTAATATTATATTTTACTCGTTGCTCAGAGGTTCTCATTGCCGTGGAACTGTGGTAGACAATAAATACAAGCAATAATTGTCAATTGAAAAACAATAGTCAACGTTATAAATAGAATTATTTATTATCATTATCAATGATAAAACCATAATAGTATAACACAGTACTGATAATGTGATATTACTTACTGTTACTTATTACTTTAGTTTTTACTTATTAGCGTGGTTACTGGTTATTACTTCAATAATTTAGACAGTCTGTAATTAAAAATATATTTACAAGAATACATCCAACTCCCACAGTCTTAGTCAAGTATGTAATGATTATATTTTATATTGATACATATTTCTATTAATCTAATATATCCAAGTCAATATATCATTGCTTAATGTTACGTCGTTTATTTTATTGTTGTTCAAGGATTATTGTTTTGGTTAATTGCTATGGAGGCCCGGCATAGAAGAAACCAGTCAGCGAAATTGATCAATTTATCTAAAAAATATAATACATTAGGTACTGTTAAAAGCAGTACAAGTAACTTACCAAAGGATTCGTCTTCTTTGCCATTACGTCCCTATGGCATGCTGCCTGACTAAATAGACTCAAACTCTAAAGTAAGACAATGGTTGCATCATGTAAATAAACACAAGTTAGTATACCATCCAGACACACTTTCTTGTTCGCAAAGGTGGGTACCATAAGTGGCATAAGCTATATTTCATAATATGATTATAATTGTTTACTTATTATAGTATTTTATTATTATAATTTTATTTTTTTGTAGTTTTTTTGAGGTACAACATGATGAAGAGCAAAAGAATGAGATTTCTAGCAGTGGTATAAGTGATGATAATGTTATTATACAAAATAAAGGTGCTCAGAATAATTCTGATAATATATGTACGACAGATTTTATGAAGTAAGCAAACAATTTTTTTATCATATTATCTTATATAGTACCTACAATGTTGTCATATATTCACTTGGGTGAAGGATGCAGATTTATCTCCACCTATTGTCTCTTTATTTATTCAAGTATTGGGACCATTTCTTGTGATAGTTATTTTTTTATACAAACAATTTGTCTGCATTATAGAATTATTGCTTTGATTGTGTAGGTAAATAAATTATAAAATTGATTTAAGGTTAAACATCAAATTTCAATCAATACTATGCTAGTTAATTATATTTCAAAAGTTTGGCCTACGTCAAGGTAATAAAATTTCATATACCACTGCTTTACAGTACTCTGTCTGTCTTTGTATTTCTTCCCCTCCCTTTAATCAAAAAATAACTTGAACTAATTTAAGTTTATTTTTTTGATAATTCATTTTTAATTTTGTATTAAATAATTTTAATGTAACATAATTGTATACAACTTTTTATTAGTAATTGATTAGTTTCCATGTTTTTTTAATAAACTATTTATTTTTTTTTTAGAAATTATGACGATAAATATTTATTTGAAAATGAAGATATGACTAAGTCATCCGTTGAATGTATCTCTACATATCCTGTTGAGATATAAAATTGTAATAGTGATGTTTTATTTATTGGAAATGAAAATAATTTTGATTTCAAAAGTATATCAATCTTAATAAAGTAAGTGTTGCTTATTTAACACTACAATTATGTAATAGTTTTTTTTTTTTTTTTTTTGTTATGTCATGTTAATAATTTACATACATTTATTTGGTTCAATATGTATACAATATACATACACTATTGATAATAATTAAATCGTATATTTTACAGTGCTAATGATGATTATGTATTTGAAAATAAGGAAAGTATTGAGGATCTACTGAATTTTTGCGATCCTCCATTTTCACCTACTTGTGTTACAATTTTTAACCATCATGAAAAACAGAAGAATATTCTTGTCAGTCCCACTACATATTGGTTAAAGTATGTACTTTAGATAAATATTTTGCAATTGTTTTTATTTATTATTTTAATTACAATTTAGATATAATAATGATAATATATTTTGTAATACTATTGTTTTTTTAGTTCAGTCGACAACACTTATTATGATATTGTGGCTAATGACTTAAATGCATTAAACAATATTTCTCCATCAGCAGCTATTTACACTAACCATGATAGTAATTATTATCCCACTAAAAACACAGAAACTAGTCACGGTGAACCAAATAGACCTGTTCGTAAAAAGTTTGTACTATATTAAATATTATTTAGTAATTCTATAATAATAAATTCTTAAAAATATCATTTCTAATCACGTTTTTTTTTTTTTTTCTAGGTTATTTAGTTTTACAGGAAGTAAAAACGAGGAGAACTCGAAAAAGTCATCATTGAACAAGAGCAGTGGCTTGGTGAATGGGGTTTTATGAAGCCTGGACGTCATGGTGGATATTTTGTGTGGGGTGGTGGGGGGGTGTTTGGGTACATCATGGTAATCAATCACATACAACAAAAATTAAAATATTTACAGTCACATAATAATTATATGTACTAAATATTCTATTAAGGTGATAAAGGGGGTAGGTACTGAAATATATGCTGGGCATCAAGATTTAACCAGAGTATACCTTTACTTTATAATAGCCATATAACATACTTTGTTATTTTTCATCTTTTTGTTTTAACTATACAGCAGAAACCGTTTAAAATGACACCGGTTGTAGGTCTCTTGATATAAACGACATGTTTTTATATCATGCCATCATAATATATCACAATAATAACTATATTATATATAAACAAGCCGACCCCGCGTAGCTTACCCCTCCAACGAGTGACTGTGGGAGTAAACGTTTTCTGAATACGGCTAAACAAGGATCTAACGTCATGTTGGTTTACGGGCTCGTTTCCTAGGTTCAGATAATGGGTATTATTCTAAGACCGTGGGTAAACGTAAACGGTAAACCGAATCAGTTGATAGAGTTTAGCTTCAAAAATCAAATTGTTTGTAGTGTTTATTGTGCCACAGATTATTTGTTTAATATTTTCTATATGATTGTACCATGACAAATTATATAATTATATATTACATAATTTATCATGGATGATGGATTGTATATATTTTGTACCGTGAATTCAAGTTTCAACGGGCCACTAAAGACTGCACACTCAAGCCTGCACTAGGACTATCAAAGCCCGTGATGTGGTGGATTGAAAAACCACAAAGTATGGCAAATGTAAGTATTCATTAATTTAGAAAATATTTAGAACCATTCTGGGTTTAATAAATTCATCGTTTATTTAAAAGATGTCAGTGCACTATTTGTTTTCTCTCTGACAGTCTGACCCACCCGCAACATAGTGCATTTACGCAGACCAACCCTGTGTTATTAATTTTAATATTAATAACATAATGTGAATTCACTTATTATCAAACTTCAGTTAAGAACATTACTTGTATCTCCTCTGTGTTGGTTATTTTTATGATATTTTAATTTTTGTGGAAGTTAATAAGTTATGATTGTGTAAATTATTACAATTTAAAAATGCTTATAAATTGTATAACAATTAAAATATTGTTAAAAAAGGCAACTTAGAGATACATCCATACATCCATACTGATTACCTAATCAGTGGTATGGTTAGCATATTTCTAACTTAGGCAAAGTACCTATTTGAAACATGACCCACCCACTACCCCCTACTATATAACATATAATTTAAAGCTGTATGCTAATTTAGAAATTTTGTTATAGAAAGTCAACAATAATTTAGCATAAACAAAATACTATAATAGGTAACTATACATTCGTCCATGCTAATTTTAATTTTTAAAAAAATTGAAATAAATATCTAGGGCTAAGCAATTGCATTAGGTAAACGTTGTTTACCACGCCACTGCACGTAATGGGTAAAAAGTTAAGAAGCTTAATAGAATTGATAATAATTTAATTCACTCTAATATTAAAAGTAATGCCGAGTCCACACAGAATCTGGTTTTTGTTTTAGTTTTATGTTAAAAAACAATTTAGATTGTACTGTTTAAGTTGGGAAAAGTTGAGTTTATATTTTGTTTAGTTTTCTTGTTCTGCTTGGACCCGGCATAACAACACATGACTGGTTCAACTAAACATAAATTAGCTATGTTGCGTGTGGATCAATGAGACAAAATAAATGGTGTATATATCTGTGGTTGACATACTCTTAATGAGTGTTTGGTTTTCAATAAATTGTATGGTATATTTACGTATTATTTTTTTTGATTGTAGTTAGTATATCATTAAGGAACTGTTGTTTTTAAAATATTGAAACGAAAAGAAATACTGTACCCTGTGTATAACGTGAGGTCTCACGGCTAGAGGTATAATAGTATATACTTCCATCCATCAGTTCAAACATTAAACATAATTCAAACCATTCTTACTAAGGCGGGTGATACATATGGTTAGTAATTATTTATTAATTGCATACAATTAAACTATTTATTTAATTTTTATTGATTGGCGTTTATCAGTTATTAACTATTTAGTAAGTGCTTTAAATTTAAATAAACACTTTGTAAACAATTACAATAGACGATAGTATGGGGCAGGCACATAGCTAGGATTACACATTTAGGATGACCTAATTACTACCACCAACATTTTTCTTGAATGGCCAACATTCGAAAATTGAATGGCATCTTATACAATAAATTACATGCTGTTTTGTTAATATTTGTAATCGTTGTGGAACACAGCTTTAAATAATTATGTAATAACAACAAATATCTAATAGACATTTTTGAACATGGTTTACCTTTTTTTACTAAATTATTTGAGCCTTTGATATTTTTACAATATAATGATGTGCCCTGTAAATATTTTGGGTGGCCTGTAAGTATTTTGGTTTGCCAGGCCACCCCTTAGCTACGTGCCTGGTAGGGAGTTGTACCCAGCAAAGTACCTTTTCCTAGGTACTCATATCTATAGTTTACTACTGAGTTTTGGTATAGTCCAAGGGCATTCAATCAGAACCTAAGAGGGTGACAATATCATAAAAAAATGACTAAGAACTAACCAAATTGATTTTATTAAATAACAGAAAATAAATACAGAACATAGATAAACAATGTACCTATGTAATATGTCATGTATTATAATATCATCAGTAAAAATAATTTATTATTTACAATTTTATAAGTATGTAATTGCTCTGATGTAGTGATGTGGGTATAATAGTTCTTGAATTGAGTAGGTTACTATAATGGATGTGTTAAATTTGAATAGGAAAAACGATTTTGAGCGGAGACAGTCTATCAGCCTATAGTTTTACTAAAAATATTTTATTATGTCTATATAACAAATATTATTTAAATAAATATTAGATAATTAGTAATTACAATATTATAATACCAGCTGACCCCCATGCACTTTGTTGCCCGTTAATAATGGCAATGCCAACTCTGATCCAAACTTTGATAATTGAAAGTTGAGGCTTTCATTGTTTAGGCTCTACGTTGATCAGCCAGTGAGCCAATCAGAACATGTTTGATTATATTATATTATAGCCATTCTGCTTGTTGTTGCATAATTTAACTCCTAAGGTATCAAAGTTATACAAAGTATATCGTTTTTAATCCAACAGATGGCATCATCAGTTAATTCCTATTTTACCCCTATTTCACCCCTTTCAAGTTTTTATTTTTTCGACAAAAAGTAGCCTATGTCACTCAGGGTGATGCTAATTAATACTAATAGTACTAATTTCTAAGTGTAAAAGAATTTTCGGTCAAGTAGTTTTTGAGATTTTTGTGAACAAAAACAAATTCTATGTTTTTTTATAATATAATAAAAAGTAATAGTAAGATAATTTAAGATAAATGTTTAACTGTCCAAATATACTTATAGTATAAAATGATACCTATATTCTATAATTTATAATATATATCGCTGTACATATATTATTCTGTTGTTACCGCTCCAGATTGGATTCCAGGTACCCGAAGAGTCCCTGACTTTGTCTTACAATGAGAAGAAAACTTGGGTATCCGACCAGAAGCAGATGTGGCCTTTGGATTTGCAGCCAAATCATCCATCAGATGAGAGTAAATTGTGGTCATCTGCAGATGAGGAGGAGGCTACAGTCGTCTTAGCTGGTACCAATGAGCTGGTATATGGAGGAATTGGTCATTGAGCTGACGCCAAAATAACGTAGGTCGTTCCTGTCGTTACTTGGAAGGCGTATAATATTTTTAAATTATACCTAGTAATTATAAAAAATACCAAATATAAAAATTTTTTGTAAAATTCAAGTAACTATGGTTCTTTGTTTTTGAATTACAACAAATTAAGAAAATCGTTCGATAAGATTTCGTTAATTTACTGGCTAATAACTAATGTCAAAAACAATTTTAAATTAAAACACTTATAAACAAATAATTTCACATTACGGTTTCTGTTACACTTTATTTTTTTGTGTAAGTTACTAAAATTATTATCATGTTTTTTTAATATTTGGACAAATTTATAAATATTTAAATGAGGGATAACTATTTTAGTTATTTATTTTTGTAATTAAAAAATTGTATTGTGGGTACATGGAACTTCAAACGCTCATATAAATTTAATTTGACTTATACACTTTTTTTTTTGATTACATTTTCAAATCATAGATTTAAAAAGAAAAATGTTTAGGAATTTCTAACTCAAAATAATTCCCACATTTTTGTGATTTTTACATATTTTGTCAAAATTTGAACTTTAAATGCTTGTAAACAAAAATTGTGACTATGTATTTTTAATATATTTCAACTACCATTATAACTACATATTAGGAGCCTTGTAATACATTTTCAAGCAATTTAACCAGACAAATAAAATTGTATTGACATTTATAGAAAAAAAAAAAAAAAAAAAAAGAGCCATTAACCTTTTTTTTTTAATGTTAAAATTCCATACATTTTTAAGGTTTTAAAACCACGCGTATAATGGCATTAGATACCTGCTGCACTCTAAATATTATCAAAAGTATAACTGTATGATTCTTGAACATATCCCTAGTTAAATTTATTATAAATATTTAAATTTGATGGTATAATATACCTGCAGTATGGGGTATTGGTTTATTCAAACTACTGTTTTCAACTAAATAGGTATAATCTATTTTATCTATACCCATAACTGTATCTGTATCCTGTAGGTATGTGGATTTCTGTTCTTTTTTTACCACAATTATTAAAATGACAATAAATTATTTATCTTTTAAATAACATATTTTACATATAGTTGTAATTTGTAACGTATACCTATATCATTTTTTTAATGTAGGTATTTAATATTCAATTTGTGATTGTGATGTTAAAATGTTGAAAGTGGTACTATGGTTTATGAATAATAATTATTTTACAGTATAGGTACATAAATTGCACGGTAAATGTAAAATGGTCCCTAGTTCTAAGAAGATACTCCAAGTCTTAACTATTTTGATCAGCGTTAACCTAACCAATTGATGCAGTGCTGTTTAATAATAATTTAACTCTAGTGTTACCCAACCACATTTTTATATGGGGTTTTCGGTGTGAAATCTTATTCATGATATTTTAATAAATAAAATAATATATTAAAAATGAATTGTATGAATAATAATTGTACATTGTAATATAATATCACGGTTGTGAATATGCATCGTCGCGTCGATAAAAAACTTAAAACACAGTTCCCAATCAATTCACTACTTTTATTTTTTATTTTTTTTTCGTATGCATCGTATTGTAAATACAATTCCTATTTTTTAGGTTTTTTTTCACATGTTTAAATAATATCGTCTATATAATAATAATAATAATAATAATAATAATAATAATAATAATTGTTTTAATAATACCACTACAATGTAATTAAATACCTATTTTTATATAAACACCATAACTAACGCAAGCTAAAACATATTACAATGTTCGGTAAAAGTAACAATAAAAATTCCGTTTAACAAACGTTTATATTATTCAAAATTACGCACAGTAACAACTAAATTTCACTACACAAGTATCTAAACAAACTTATGAAAAATCGATAAAAATGTACAATTTCTTTTTCATTATGAATTCTTTTCTTTTTCTCGTTACAATTAATACAAACATAATCGTAATTTATTATTATCTCGTTATTTATTTAACAACATTCAATTTAATATATTATAATTTAATCAATTTTTTTATGGGGGGCACAGTTATTGATATGTTTCGATTATACATTTTGGTATCGTATTCACCTGGATAAGGTGACCAAAATCACAAAAAAATTATTCACATGCTGCAAACGTATGTTTACTTCAAGTACAATAATTATTAATTTGTTTATCATTTTCTTTCATTTAACATTTATATATCCACTATAACGGTTAATATATAATATAAATAAGATTATAAGGCTACTGTTGATCACATTAAAAAAAATACACAGGCTATACAGCGTTAAAATGTATATAATGATATGTATGTGTTGCAGTTAAGAAAGGCTATTTTATTTTATCAAATTAAAAAAAAATTTAAACAAAAGAAAATCTGTTTGAGCTTAAAATGTAATTTTTATCTTCGAATAAATCTACAAAATCCGCAATGATCGTAATGATAGTAATTAAATTCTAATAATTAATAATAATAATAATGATGATACCTAATAATAATTAATATTATTAATAACGAAATAATTAGAAAAAAAAAGAATTTTATAATTTGGACGGATATTATAATTTTTTTTCGCAAAAGACGTCGGTAAAACATAATAAATAGTAAAATAAATTACATTACTCTTCAAATAATAATTAATCGTTCGTTTTTGGAATGCGTTATTTATTCAATAATAGTTCTCATTGGAATGTATCAGTAAATTTTTTTTTACAATAAAAATAATAATACACCAACGTCTTTTGCTAGCCTGTGAACACTGTTCGTCTTACGTTTAACAGATCTGAAATAATTACCACGGCGAGCGATCACAGACTTAAAATAAAAAAGTAAAACAAAATACTTATAATTTTAAGTATTTCAAATGGTATTATTATTATTATTTTTTTTTATATATATATATAAATTAATAACTATAATTATTTAATTCATTAATTATACGTCTAACTGCTTAAAAATTATAATAATAATAATAATAATAATAATCATAATTTCAATATAATACACTGAAACATACATATTATTCCATATTATTATGTACACTGAAACGCAGGAAAAAAAAATATTTTTTTTCAATATTATTCATTGGTAGTTGTCTAAAATAAAATGACAATAAACTATAATAGAACGTAATCTTTGGTCTTTTTCAGTTGTATATTATTATATTACATAAAAAAAAAATTTTCCGAGAGCAAAAACATTGAAAAATTATTGTCTCTTAAAAAATTAAAAACTTAAAAAAAAAGATTGTCATTTTAAATTAATTATCAAATATTATTATGTACGCGATTATTGTTAATATAATAATTAGCTTACGTGTTCCCAGAAATATCCTAATTTTTTTTCGAAATAAAGACGAGAATACGCAATAACGAAAATAATCCTCGTACCTAACTAAAAAAACTTCCATGAGCTGCTAAACAAGCTGCACCCTGTAAATTTGTTTGAAACAAAATCTACTCGTATATAATGGCAAGAAATAAAACACTAAATTGTATAAAAAATAGTTTGCAGAATTCAATCATTTTGTATTATAATAATAATAATTATATATAATAATTTGTTTTATATATATATATTTATTTTTTTTGTTGACTAAACCGTTTTCGGTTTGGACGCCACCGCGGGCCAGCCGATACTATACGGACCGCGCGATCCGCTTTGATCGACCTCACGCAGTCCGTTAACGTGTCGGACCATCCCAATAGACTTAGTCTTTTATAAAATTATTTACAATGTTTAACGTTAATTCCCTTTCAAAGCATTATTGATATGTATTTAGTGAATGTATATGAGCGCGCTTACATTTTTATTTATTTATTTACTTTTTTTTTGTATGTCATTAGTAATATTATTATTGCTAATATCTGAACCACGCCTATACGAGAATAGGCAATTTTTTAGGATAAAAAAAAAATACATGAGAAACAATCACAGATTTGATGAGTCTTAAGATCTTACACTACCCACTAAACAAGCATAGGACGATTATTTAGGTATTAGTTTAAAAGCTTAGGGAATAAAGTTAGGAATTAGGTAGGTACACTATATATTATATAATATAAATATGATGAATATGTTTTATAAACACTACAGGCGAACAAGGAAGTTGTTACTGCTTTGTACAACAGCTTAAGAAGCTTTAAGCTAGTAATAATTATTCAATAATAATTTTTTTTTCAAATTTAAATTGACTTAAATTAATTTTTTTTCAATTTTAGGGCTTTGGTAGGTTGTTTTGTCGTGTCGCGCGTTATCTAGACTTGGGCAGGTACTCGTGGTCTATCTTGTAGTTGTCAGGTGTTGTTCAACTGCATGTGAGTATACGTGAAATTGACGTTGTCCAATTTCTTTTGGCCAGCATACTCCCTATAAAAACCAAGAAACAAAAACAAATAAATAAGACATCGTTAATTTCTCAGTGTATTTGTGACGGGTCCTCTAAATAAGTATAAAATAAAATATAATATTGTTTAGTCTATATTATATAGTTCGATGGAGTGAATAGTACCGAGTAGTGGTGGGGAAAGGAATACGGAATTTTATTTTGTTAGTTCTTTTAAGCTCACGTCTATCGATTTCTGTGTTTGCGTGCAGTTATGTACTTGTCTTGCCCACACGTGTAACCCCATTGTAAATGAGAATAGAAAAATAAAGACTTTAAAATATGTCTATCTCTTTCGAGGATCTCGTCCACGTGTCATGAAAAAAATCCCCCCTCGCCGCTTTATATAATGGTATATTATTATATTGTGCCTAACAATTGTGCCCTCCACCTTCTCACCTTATAATATGTTTTCTTATGTACATGGGTATAGAGAAATACGTTTATCAATGTCTTCATTTATAGGCGGTCGGCCAATAATTAAACGTCTGCTTTGACTGACTGTAACTCGTTCTATATTTGAAAAAAAACAATAAAAAAAATCCTGTCATTTTTCTCGGGCCAACTTGGATCTTATAATATATCCTAAATATTATGTAAGTGTATATAAACATATATTATATATATTTATATATTATACTGTAAAACCATGTGATGACGTCAATGTTTATTGTAAATACGTGAATTGCACGATTTTCTCACACAATGCGACAACACTTAACTCTATTTGATATTTTGTATATGGTATACAGGTACCACAACGAAGTGTTGTACGGTATAATATATATTGTAGTATATATACATAGTAGATAACACCGGTTCCGAAGAAGTCTACCTTATCTGTGTGCAAATCATAGTGATAATACGAAGGATTACATCAAAATACATTATAAATTATATTTTTTGAATTGTGATTGTAAATTTCGCGTTGAGCTCGCCATGAGCCGATCTTAAACGTCAGCCGTATGCATATCCAAAGCGATCACAAAATAACATGTCTCGCATGTGGTCGAAAGACTAACACCAAAGTCGCGTACATATAGGTTTAATATCATAGTCACTACTCATTCCATATGGTTTTTGAAAAATATATTTAATATTATATTCCAAGAGCGGCAAATACACAAACCATCTCGTGTACAGGACGTGTTTAGAAAAATATGTCGAAAACATTATTCGAGATCTATGCATTGGTTGGTTTAGGTATACATAACATAATAATATTTATTTTACATCATAATATTATAGCGTGAGTGACCCCGTGCGTTTATAATTAATATACTTTTACAAGAACACGGAAAAATCAAAATTTAAGCTCAAATCTTCGAGACCGTTGTTATCTATATTATTATATAGTGGCGCTTTGACGTCTCACACACACAAAACAATGACAAAACAAAAACGTACTCGTAGGTAATCACAGATAATAATATATTAATATAATGTTATTGTTGTTGTTTACGGTTTGGTTTTGTTATGTGTTTTTTGTTTTTTTTTTTCTGACTACTGACCTGGCGAAAATGTCTTTAAGCTCGTGGTCGGACACGAACTGCCCGAGGTTGGCGACGAACAGCGTGGAACAAGGCGGCTGGGGCTGCTGCTGGTTGGGCGGCGAGGGCAGTGCGGGGGAGGGCAGGAACGGAAGGCCGTGTGGGCCCAGCGTCAACGTCGGCTGAAAACGAGCCAATCCTAATATGATTTTATTACGCATAGTACCTTCACCGCAAGCTACGCAAATAACTATTATATTAAATCTTCTCTCGTTCGTTTCATTCGTTTCATTCCTTTTTTTCTGATTATTATTTTTCCATCGCACGCGCACACGTGACTATACTATAGCTATGACTAAACTATATACAGCTACGACGTCAAATGTGGCGCGTGCGATCATAATAATATAACACTACACTACACTACACACATACAACATAACAACTAATAATGAGATTCTTATAAAATATTATTATGGTCTCGGACACGGCGGCGGCGGAAGAACAAAATGTGCAAAGCAATAATTATAAACATAACGCGTGGTGCGACTGTATACAGTCGCCGCTGCATGATAATAATAATAATATTATGTTTGCGTCTTCTCGGTCGACGTGTGCCCGCGACTTCCGTTGCAGCCGTAGGTCCTGGTGAAATTCTGCAGGTGGGCAGATTTTGCCAGTCGGTGGTCGCCCAGCTGGTAGAGACCGGAACGCGACGTCCGCGACTCTAAACAGCCGATCCGCTGCAGTCAGCCGTGGGCAAGACATTTTCGCCAAAGTGCAGTGCGACCGTGTCCGCGATAAATACTAACTACACTAAAGCTACCAGTTATAACATTGCGTGTTTGAAACTACAAGGCCGGTTGATCATGACGTCTCAGCCGAATAGTTGCAGGCCGAAGAAGGGACGTGCAAACTTCCCAAGTTTTATTGCGACGGTCATAATAGGTACGTACTACACTAGGTACCTATAGTATATTATAAATTATTATTTCGTAATATGTATTTGTAGGTATATTCGTAAATATGCAGCACTCAAATTTCAATGTGTAGTAGGCCGTATATGAATAATTATATTGCATCAGTTTATCTTTCTACAGGTTTTTGTGGGCAAAAAACGATATAGATACCCGATTATTTAATTTGATAAGGATTATAAATTATAATCATCTATAATTTAAATTTCATACATTTTAATAATGTAAATATATAATAATAACATATAATAATAATTTGAAATACATTTTATAATAATTAATAATATAGTAAAATTAAACATGATCTATCATGAACAGTGGTTACATCTTTGTAATGCGGAAATATGATTAATTTCACTTACTATACTTTTTTAAATAGCCAAAATTAATTTAATTCAAATTTTTAACATCTGCAATAATACATATATTTTTATTTTTAAAATTTAAAGTTTATAGATGTAACCCTTATTAAATTTAACCATCAGTTAAAATCACGTTATAATTTTATTATTTTGCCCAACACTGTGAACAGCACTATTACCACAACATCTCGTGTTGCAAGTGAAAAAAAAAAGAAGCAAAATACCTTATAATTTATTATAATGATATTATTATGTATTACGCGTGGCTAATAAGTGTGGATTGTATTATTGCAATCATGAAAAATGTATGTGCTTGTTAGTACTTAGTTGTTACTCATTTCACTCCCTGACCGACACACACCACAGTATAAACAAATTTACCGAGAAATTCACGAGAAACGAGTTATATACACATATAGTTTGGACTTTCGATTCGAAATAACTATATAATAATAAAAAATATATAATACATTGTTATGAAATGGTTTTCTTTTAAGATTTAATTAAACGTTTAAAACGTTTAATATTATAAAAATTGCTAAAAAAAAGAACTGGGCGAAAAGCAATGTTTTGATTATGTAACCCTAACTTTAGTATTAAATTTCTAATATTTGTATGTAGGTACTTTATATGCAGGCAGCGACTGGACATCCCAAATCTAACGAAAATGTATTTATATGTTAATATTTTATAAACCCATTAAAAAATAAAATCTCGGGAAAACTCAATTTTCAAAGTTGTAACAAGGTCAAAACATATCTGACAAAAAAGAAAAAACAATAAAATGCAATTTTCAGAATTCTAGACTTTGCCGATGAATTTATTTTTATGTTTAAAATTGGTAAATATTGTTTACCCAAGAACACATAGCATAATCATATTATTATGCGACAAGACATGATTCTCGTTTACCGTGTAAATAATGTATAGGTATCCAAAATGTAGATTTACACCGAATATAATGCACGTTTTCAACGTACACATAGGACTTGGAAGCGAAGCTATATAGGTAGGTACTAAATTATAACTGTAGGACGACGGAGTCGTCTATATTATATAGTGTGCATAAACATAATTGTAATATTATGACAAGCTTGCATAAGCGTCGGTATTATAGGTAATACCGTCATAATATTATATGGTAGCGGCATTGTTTTTTTTCTAAAAATGTAACTCATAAATTTATATTTCACACACTACCTGTTGAGGATGTGGATGTAGTCCCGGATGGACAAGAGCTGCGTGTTGTAAAGCCGTGGCCGTGGCTGCGGTCGGCATATCAGCATACGCCAACGGATGATGCCATAACTCTGCCGGAGCACCGGTGAAGAATGGGGCGCCTAGATCTAGACAGTGACAAAGACAAATAAATACGAGTTTATTATTACAACGACGGATCATAAATTCATAAGTGTGTCGGAAACCATGGGTACGAGGGTGGTATTTGTGAGGGGGTGTGGTGAGGAGCGGCGAAAGTGGCGCGATGGCGATCGAAAGTCTGCTAGTATAAATAGATCTACGCACTATATACAGTACTAGATTGTGTCCGATTATAAGATAGAGTTGCCCGAAGCTATTTAAGGAGAATATATATTCAACGTATATTTATTATCAAATGACAACAATAAAATAATATAACAATTTATATTTTGATTAATAGGTAAAGATATTATTACAGTTATACCAGATTATAGTTTATGTTCAAAAGTTTTTAAGCGTGACACTTGTAATGAAGGTAATATTTAAATATTTATTATAGCAATAAAATTATAATATATTGATTTGTACATACATTATAGTATTATACATGACGTATTGAATTGTATTCAAGGCGCTCATTGATTAGTTGTAAAAAGTAAAAACTCGAGTAAAATGTATTTTTCTGAGCAGCGGAATCGCATAAAGCGATTAGATTTGACGGCAATAAGTGTAGGTTCATCTTTTAAGGCCGTGGATTGAAATTTGACTAAAAAAATATGGTAGGTAAACTACGAAGAGGCCGTCCCTTAGCCGACAGAGGCAGTGGCCACCGGCCATCGCTAATTTCTGTGTAGCTCCTATAGTCCCATTCCCATCAATATTTTCCTCCTATAGATATAATAGACGCGCGTTTCTCTCTCTGTCGGTCTTCATCGGGAACAGTTGGTTTCGTTTTCTGCCGTTCACACCCCCTAGCATAATATAATATAATAAACTAGTAATCGCGGACGGGGTAGGACGGTAGGACGGTGCCCGGGAAGTAGACGAGGTATGCAGGTACTTACGTCCGGTGAGCGGGTGCATCAGGCCTTGGTGCGTGTTGGGCGTGACGTTTGCGTTGGCGGGCTGTTTTGGCTTGCTAACCTTCGTGTTGCTTTTAGCGAATTCTAGCCGTATGGTTTGCGGCATGTCGGGATCGAACCGGACGCCCTGCTGCCGAAACCAAACACACAACAATACAGTGCTACCATCCCGTGTCGGAAATCAGAGCGAGCAGTTTCCGCTCAAGTACGACTACGATTTGGGTTGTGGCGGGGAGGAGTTGGAGTGCGAGTCTAGACGCGACACGCGAAGTTTTATTTGATAATTTTTAAAAAAAAAATTCTTTCTTCGCGCGTGGTGCCAATATTATGACGTATGATATCACTACGCGTGGTATAATACGAGACAGCGTTTTCTAATAAATATGAGCTCGTCGTACTCGTGCTTTATTTCACTACGGAAACTACCCGTCTGTGGTTATCGTTTAACATAATCTAAATGTAAAAGTCTTGGCCCGTAGACATATAAAACTACTTGCCGATTATAATATATCGGTACACTAAGGCCGCTCGGCAAAAGGTCGCAACGCTTAAGTGCATATAATAATAATAATGTTGTTGGCTTATATTAATATATAAGCATTATAGTAATCTTAATGACGGTAAAAACGAACGTTGAACACAACTTCGTTTTTTAAGTCATAGATCTCGTTCTATTTTAGAGTCAATATACAACGTGCGTAAACATAATACATAATATGTACATAGTTAATTAAGCGTTGAACAGACATATAGAACTGGCGTGTTACGCTTTGTTTGTAATTTTTTTTGGAAAACGAATTTTAAAAAAACACGTGGCATAGTAAACATCAACCTCTGCGCTTACTCGCGGCCGTACTACACGGTAAACCAAGTGATTTTATACGTCTACGGTTTAATATGTCCATTACGTTTCCGGGTCATAAACTCTCTTGCTTAATGTACGCTGGAAAATGTCGTGAAGTCAACTTTAGGGAGAGGGGCAGAATTAGCGTGACGACGGTATACTTTGTGAAATACGACGGTATACCTCTCTCATAATAATAATAGTTTTAATACAATATATCATATTATATAATATATCGTATTTACGTGTGCGTATGGCTACTGTTTGTATATATATATTTTTTTCAAATGCCAGTGATAAGCGTAATACTATAACGTATACCTATATAGGATGGCATGTTTGACGTTAATACTCGTATGATATTGTTTAATACGCACACATACACACACATATAATATTATAGGTACATCACGAAGTACAAAGTTTTGTAATGCCACGGTGTTTAGAAACCCACGTCACGTTTGGGGGATGAAGTTTCGATCAAAGTCCAAAAAGAGTTTATCACGGGGAAATAATATAATATAATAATAATAATATTACAAATAACATTAGGTTATATATAGTTCATATATAATATAATATAAAACGCACCTGAAGGTCTTGTTTAGCGGCCTCGGCGCCAGCGCGTGTCTGGAACGTAACAAAACCCACTGGCTGCAAAAAACAATGAAAAGTCAAAAATATATCATACTAACAACGTTACTACTACGATTTTAAGACTTTTATTTGGTCAGTTATTTGCGCTTACCGAAGCTGTTTTGCCATTTTTGCTTGTAACTTTTAACAGAGATCCTTCGTAACCCTAAAAAAAAGAATAAATAAAACACATAATATTAGTATACTATGTAACGACAGCAATATCCAATAGCAAATGTACCCTCTCGTAACAACAATAAACCGTTGTTCGATAATAAACCGATGAACCGTGCATTGTTGTTAGGAGAGGGTACATTTGCGGCAAAAATTGGAATCGTGGTTGTTGTCGTTGTTGATAAGAACCGCATTAACGATTGTGGCAAGTCATTACTATTGAATTCACAGAGGATTTCGAAAACGAATCGAATAAGAATGAGTTTTTATATTTATCATACGCCACGAATGTCGATTTCACACTGTCGTACATAGGGGAAAAGACGAACATCAGTGTCGGCGTGCCATGAATGCTATTATTATACGATCGGAAGGTGCAGTGCTTTATTTATTATAATAATATGTAACATCCGAGAACGTTGTATCCAAGTTTATTTTATTCTAAGTATTCTCGCTTGGTTTCACAAACATTATATTATTTTTATTTATGCATCGGAATCGTTAAAAACCTATCGACAGTAGCATTTGCATATTGTAGTTGTAAACTTTAGTTCCGACTTCCGAGAAAACTATGTGGAGTTCGTACTAGAGTGCGCAGAGCGAATGCGTTTCGACACTGCAGAAAAGCAACCAGACGCTTTTTTTATGACCGTTGACAAGAAACCAGTTATCTCAAAACGGCAAACATAGTATATTTAGTAATTTAATTTTTTATTATTTTAAATACTATAATTTCTGCGGATAGCAATAATTTAATTTGGTTCCGATAAAGCAGTTTCGTGCCGACGCCATGTATCACCTAATACAACAATAGGACGATAACTGGAAAGCTATGAATCCGGCTAGAAATTTAATTAAATGTTTAAAATTAGTCAGAGAAATAATGCAACGCGTACCTATCGAGAACCTATAACGACCCGTTGAGTGTCACCAATCGAAGAGCGAGTCATTGTCAATCGGTGAAGCCAAGTGCGGGGGTTTGAATATATTTGACGTGCGTAATGTATATAATATTAGTTTATTAGCGCTGATATCATGTACATTTTTCAAAACACCAATAATATATTATTTAAAAGACTGGGAAAGAGCGGCAAAGAGGACGCGTCAATCTCGTATAAAAGAGCGTGTATTTTTACAAACACAATAACCGGACAGTATATTGGATCAGCGATTTTTTTGTACTGCTGTCCTCTCATAACGGACGCATTATTAACATTATATTAAAATACAATGTAGTAATAGGTATACAAATTGTACGGCGCAAGCGGTGATGGCTGCATGTGAAACACGGCCTTATCGTCGGATTATCAATATTGCGTGATCTGGATAGCTATTCGATGAGCATATAGATAAATGTATTAGTGTTTTGTTTTTTAATCACGAATGGAGATTATACAATATTATAATACTTAATACTCGAGTTTTAAATCCTGCAGCCGTGTGTTAACATACCACTGCCGACAGGTTTTTGGAGCGTTGCGAAAATGGTTTTTAAAAATTGTCCACGTCAAACAAATTCACAAAAGCGACTGCCGAGTTTTCGCGTATTGGGAATTGCCACCACGGACGTTGTTTTAATGGTGTCTATCCCGCGTCTTACGAGTTGGGAATCGAATATCGATCACTCGGAAACCGCCGCTCACAGGTTTTTATGACTCTGATTATTATTGTATTTCAACCTGCCCGAAATAAGTATAGTTATAGGTACCTACGCGTTGAGGGGCGAGAGTAACCATCACGTACAGTCTATAAAAAAATAACTGCGTAATATTTATTACACACGCGCGCCAGGTTGTATAGTACGGTTCAGCACGCGAATTCAAATCATTATGTCGGTGTGTAGTTCGCCCGTTGCCTAGACACGGCTCGTAATAAGTCGCCTCGTGTCGTGGCCCGTGGGTATAGGTATACCTACCCTGCGTATTACAATGTAATAATATACTAAAATAGAAGTTTCGCCGACCGATCGACGCCGTTATAAGATTATTATTCCACGTCGGTTGTGTTACATTACGCACTATATTTTATATTCAAAATTACAAACGGTATAATGTTTTATATTATTATATATTATCCATTCTGCTAGTATTTAATATTTATCGATGATTGGACGATACTCAATGTTTACAAATCATCAATGGACAATTTATTCTGCATACATAACTAATAAGCAAATTATTTTTCTAAAAAAATATCAAACTATGCTCAATAGTAGGTAGGTGGTACAATATATAATATTTATAGGTACAATTAATGGATATTTTTCCCCCGTTAATTTACATAGACAAATTTAAGAACGTTTACCATTTGTGACCACCCCCAGAGTCAAACCTTCTCCACTCTTTCATAAATGTATATCTACTAAGTATAAGTTAAAACAATGGTATGTATAAAAAAACATTGAATAACTAATTAAGTGATTATTTTAGATTTTTTTAAGTCATATTTATGTGGCTTGCAGTTTAAAATTCAATAAGGAAGTGGAAACGTTATTAATACGTGATATTTATTTCACCTATTGTTAATAGGTACCTATATATTATAAGTTACTTTGATATTGCAAATAAAATAATAATTTATTATGGCTTTAAAAATCGTATCGATATAAAAACAATCGTATAAGAAATACATAATTTACCATGTACTAGTATTAAAGAAACTACACGTGAAACTAGTGCCGAATTTAGACATTTTGCTCCCCGGTGCAAAAAAAGATTGGCGCCTCCTAATCCCCAGTGAAAAAAAATTGCTCCCCCCTAAGGGGCCTACCGACGGAAAATATGGGGGATAGATCCTCATTAACCTTTTAGATTAATAACAAATTTATATTATAACAAATTATATTTGTTTTACAATGTGTGATTTTTTTAAAAATATTGTTTAGTAATTGCTTAATCCTCTCTCCGCAAAGATACATTTGAATTTATGTCACTTAAACCTTGCTTATAATTCATCATATAAGTTTTTTTCAACATATTTAAGTAGGTACTTCATGAATAAATAAAATAAAACTATATAGAACTTTGCAAATTAATATTAAATAAATTATTTAATTAAATAAATTTCAAACAGCTTAATACTAATATACTAAATTATATTACATAAAATATATAATACTGTTATTAAAATAATTAAAATTATAAAATTTTAATAATTGACAAGTAAACAAATTTCTGGCCACAAAATGTTGGTGCCCAGGGCAGTTGTACCCAGCGCCCCCTCCTAAATGCGGCTCTGCGTGAAACGTACATTTCATATCATCCATTACACCTATATTATTATGTAACAAATATAAATAGACTACCTAGTGAAGCCAGTGAAGGTGTTATTTGATTTGAGGGATTATTTTATATTTTTTTTTTCTTATAAATCACTAAGTGAACCATATTTATAAATCCATAATTGTAGGTAGATAGTTAATATATTTTATCAAATTACTGTATAAATATAAATTAACAGCTTATATAATTAAAGTATTTTTTTCAATTTTTTCCTTTTATTTAATCCGTATGAAAAGTGCACCCCAGATAACAAACGAGCCGCCACGTTAAACATTTTTAAATTTACATATTATTTAAATGTTAACTTTTTATTTTTGAGTAAATAATAAACGGTTAGGGTAAAATCGTTTATTTTCCTATTATTACTAGGATGATATTTCAAAATTAGGTATTGTTATTTTTAAAGCCTTGAGGGTGTTCAGTCGTAATCAACATCCCCTACCCTACCACCACTCACCAGTTATATATAGACTACTGTAGTACTGTGAATATATTATACAAATATTGTGTAACGAAAGTTTTTTTTAATACTGTACGATAGCACCACGGCTGTTTGGTATTTGTTTTTATAGACATTACATAATATATACATGATATATCTGAACAAGAATTACACTCATAGCCTAGCCAATACGACTATAACAATGTATGTTACATTAAAATATTAATTGATCTATCTACGGCGTGTTTAATCAATGAAAATAATATAATTCCAATATACTCCCTCCTTATGATATTACGTGAATTTAGCAGTCGGCGGAAAGTTTTTAAAACTATAAGTTATAACATTATTTTCGGGGTAAAGTTAAATAAAATGTTCTAAATTGGTATATTTAATTACCAGTCTTACAGTAGGTATAGTACACGATTAGTAAATTCTATAAACTAGGAAACACAGTTTATTTATTCGTGATTCGAGACCAACAGCGTTTATTGGCGTAAATTAGATTTTGACAACACAACACGTGTACTATCTAAACTCAACGATATTGTTTCGTATGTGGTTTTAATACATAATTATTGTTGAACATTTACAGTAAATCATATATGTTTTTATATTACCTCATATGCTCGAAACAGCAAGTACAGTTCACGTGGCTTGGCGTCCATTGGTAGACCACTGACAAATAATGTTCTCACCTATGGACAAAAAAAATCAACAAATTCGTTAGATTCTGACAGTAGCAAAACAATAGTTATGTTACTAGTTAAAATTTTCGTCGAGAACTTTGCTCCCTTCGTATTTAAAACGCCATAGAGGAACCGCCCTTGCGTGTCCACTACAGCGTGTGCGTGACAATTGTAATTTCCTATTTTCCCGACGGCGCTTTTCCATTAAGTTAAATACATTTAGGATTTCCGTACCTACGCGCGCACTTTTACACACACACAAAATATATGGAATTATAAATATATATATATAGAATACAATACATCTACCAAAATTGTATTTTTTGTGGTTTACGTTTCGTACGAAATGTCAATTAAATTAAAAAAATAGTAGCATTTGCCAAAAAAAAAGAAAAATTGTTGAAACGTTCATACGAACAACTACAGTAATTAATAATAATATTTATTTTCGAATAGCTGCTGTAAATATAGTTTTCGTAGTACGTTATACATTTGTTGTTTTTATGGCGGCAGTCTCCACCCTGTATACAAAGTGCATTTCATAGAGAACAAAAGAAAACCCCCTGGGTCGTGCTTTGGTTCTCTTTGTTTTTTAAAGGTCATCACCATGTCACGCTGGTGAAGCACGGGGTGGTAGTTTCGTGACTTTTCGATCCACCGAAAGGTCTGACGGGACAGAGAAACACTCGACTGAGGGAGTAACAAAAAAAAATAATACAGCAAATATACCCCCTTCGCACGTACGCGTATGTATATTGTATATACTCGTGGACGAGAAGAGTGCCTCTCTAAGGGCACGGGGTTTTTTTAAGAGCCATTGGAAAGAGGAAAAAGAAGAGGCCCTGGGGATGTTTAAATACTAGGCGGGGAAGGGATTAGTTCGATAGATGTATGTGCCAGTGTGCCACACCATGGCCGAGGCGGAAAAAGTTACAACTAACAGGGAATATAAATACATTTTTATATGTACATATAGAAATATATATAAAAAGTCGGTCTCCAGGGTACCGGTGGAATATTCAATTTTAAAACAAATTTACCATAAAACCTTGAAAAAGTTTTGAAAAATAAATTTGAGTTATACTAATAAATATTATAAGGTTAACTTTAAAAAAACTTAAAACTTAATGATATTTTAGCATTGGTTTGAAGAAATACTTATATAATAATATAATATAATACGTGTAAGCAAATCATATTGATTTAATAATAACAGACATAATTAGTAATACGTTGATGATGGACATATAAAAATTCGTGTCTACGTCCAATAATGATTATTGTATAAACGTGGAAAAAGAATAATTATTCTGAAAATTATTTAAAGTTGTAGTACAATAATTAGTAAAACCTAAGATGGTTATCTTTGTGCGCAATATATTCCAGCATGTTATTTTAATGAAAAAATACGTTTTAATGGAGCTCGTCGACTGTGCACGCGTGAAGGTAGGGAGAGCGACCGGAGATGTCACTTTTTAGAGGGTCCTAATAAAACTAACATAATTTAACTCCAGCTTTGAGCGTGACTATAACGTACTATTTTATAGTTGTATGTTTTTCTTTTTATTCGAGCGTATACAGAATTGACAATTGCCGTAAATAGATTACTTCCATAGGTCGGGTGTGTGATAGTGGTGAGGTGGTGCAGGACTGCAGGAGGTTTGGTGTTCGGGTGGAATCTTTATAAGTATACAACATTGTACCTCGCAGTCCTTTTTACTACCGTCTCCGCCACCACTACTCGCACAGGTAGACTAAAAATTGACGACAACGACAACGATGGGGGTGGCGGTGGTGTGGAGCAGGTAGGTAGTTTAATATAATAATATAGTATAGTAGAGCTTTTCTGGCGGTGTGGCCTCGGTAGTGTAGCCGTGGGGGGGAGGTAGGGCGCCACGACGGACGGCGTGGCCATGGCAACGGCGTTATCAACACAACCGACCAACGCCGAGTCGATAACACTCTTTATTAATGTTTACAAACTCATTTCTGCAGTGCACAAGTTCGACTGAATTAATGATTCACGAGCAATTTTCCAGAGTAGGTAAATATTTTTACGATAAAATTTACAGAAGGTAATAAAAAGCTGGAGCCGAAATGCCGAAACAATGATCCGATGCAGTGCACCGGTTGCAATTATTACAAAGTGCGTTGTATTATTTTATATTGTACACAGATCTATAGGATGTTTTGTCCCATGTAAATATTGAAATTGGTTATTTGGTAACCGAGAGTAGTTATAATCCATGGAATATTTGGTCCCTAGTGTATATATGGACTATATAGGACATTGGTCCCTGGATTTTTTAAATCGTTATTTTCATTAATTTCTCTAGTACTACTAAAATAGTAAGACAATAATCTTAAATTTGAAAATTAATTCAATATTACTTCATTATATTAACAAGATAGGGGTTTTGTAATTTGATTTTGATTTGTTTTTTTTTATGAAAATTAAAATAATACAAATATATTTTTACCTATAGGTACGTAAAATATAATTACAGATAATTAAGAGTTAAAAATAACTCACAATTATGATTTAAGCCAAAAATAAAATATTTTAAAAATACACAAATATAATAAAGATTATAGACGTAGAGGAACAGATGATATATGAGTCAAACTTAAATGTGTATTATAACATTGCAACTAGGGCTTTCAGATAGCTATTTCAAAACCAAAGGAACCAAAGTCCTATAATCGATATACGCCCCAGACCAAATGTACTAGGTATCTTAATATTACACCATTATACACGCACGCGATAAAATATATCTTTAGGCTTTAAAATAAAGTTATTTACGTTGTACGATGACAGGATTTAAACTTTCAGCGCCTTATAGGTATAGTATACACCGGTTGTCCGACAATTCGGCTTTCGTCGGATGGTAATTGACGCTACTCTTCAGTCCTGTAGAAGTTTGGTCATACTTGACGAAAATCAATTCGGCTGACGAGAGATTAAGTGGAACAACACAATAAATTGACAGTATTTAGTCGTAGCTATAGGGACGTAGGGCCGTAGGACAACGCACGAGCCGACAGACGACAGATCGTCCCGTAAAACTGTGACGATTACGTTTATATGGGTCTATTTACAAAACTGTCTTCCCTGTTCGAAGTGTTATTTATTTTTTTTCCTCTGGACTAAATTCCGGGACTAGATGCTTTTACACACACTCACATAATATTAAAGAACCATTCACACTACGAACAACGCACCTTAACATCTGCACGGTCTATTCATACGATATAATGATCTTGCTTTCGATGTAGGTACTATATAATATGCACATGCAATTCGTTTTCGAGTGGAAGTCGACTCTTTTTTTTTAATTCCGAGCGCGTGTGTCCGTGTGTGTAAACAAAACGCTCTTACGATATATATGCGTCACACGTTTTAGTCAAACGACAAAAAATTAAATACTTGATGTTTATAAGAGAAGGCGTGTGAAGGTAAACGATTTTTTTCATTCATCGCATTTGATTTGTGTATACAACTTTTTTTTATCGTGCCTGCGTTTTCATACGATAAAATAACCCGATTTGAAAAAAAAAAAACAAAATTAAAACTTGAACAAAGACAAAGTTATTTATTACTTTTACTTGTTTGTATAGCTATTGTATGGAAAAAGTGATTTACGCAAGATAATAATGAACAAAAATATTTTAATCGTCATAATAATATTATAATACGACAGCGTCATAGCGTTTTACTCTCTACTCTACAAATATAATATATTATAATAAAGGCGAACGAGATGCAGACGACGACGGCGGCAGCGGCACCGACGCTGTGATAAGAGACGGGTTCTATAATTTACTTATAGGTTCAAATGTACAATACAGTCTGTACATCTGATGGCCAAAATCTTCTAACGATAGTATAATCGTCGTACAGCCGAACATATTATTATAATAACGAGTAGTATGGCGAAAGGGGTCTCTAGAAAGACACGGGCGTGATGACAAATTCCGAGGAGTTGGCAATTCGTTGGAGGAGACGAGTGTTGGGGGGGGGGGGGAGAGGAGCAAAAGAGCGCGAACCCGGAGGCCAAGTATCATAGTTGGTGTAAGAGAAATGCGCGTACAAAGGAAATAAAAACTGTATCGCTCTTCAACGATCGCTGCTGAAGTAATGCAAAGTATTTGCACAAACCTCTCGCGACAAGTGCGGGGCAGATGACATACGAAATACATTTGTGTATGAGCGCAGTGCCGCCTAAAGAGATTTTTCATCTGCCAGGAAAATGTGATTATGCGTCGTTCTCAATATTAGTCTCTTATCATCCACCTATTGAGGAAAAACTATAAGTTATAATCATCACTCCGTTACAAATATATTCATATAATAATAGGCAATAGCTGATAGCCGTCATTGTATAAAAAACATTTTTTAAGATCACCGTTCCCCAATAGTTTGGTTAAAAAATAGTTAAATATTATTAAAAAAAATTCTACCGTAACGCTATCAAGAATCCCACCTCCCTGAAGAGGACGCTACACCCGCATGTGTTGTCTCCGTCTTACACACGTACGACATAGACAAAACGCGTTTAGGCAGTCTGAGTATAACTCGCTCAATTTTGGTTCTAGAGTTAAAATACCTATTATGAAATTGAATTGTGATAATATTTCTAAGGGCAAGACGCTACGGTTTTTTTAAAAAATTTAATTTTTTAAAAGTCAAAGGTATTATAAAAATGGTGAAATTTTTTCTATTTCTAAACGATATAATGAACGTTATATTGGGTATAATGGAAAAACCGCAGCGTCTTGCCCTTAGAAATATTATCACAATTCAATTTTATAATAGGCATTTTTACTCTAGAACCAAAATTGAGCGAGTTATACTCAGACTGCCTAAACGCGTTTTGTCTATGTCGTACGTGTGTAAGACGGAGACAACGCATGCGGGTGTAGCGTCCTCTTAACATGGAACTAGCTAAACGCGGACAATACAACCTGCAGAGTGC